GCCAGAAGAGGGCACCAGATCTCAAACTGATGGTTGTGAGCCACCATATGATTGCTGGGAATTGAACTCAGGACCTCTAGTGCTCTTAACCTCTGAGCCATCTCTCCAGGCATGGGTTATCTCTTCAAAAGAATTGTATTACCTGTTTTCCACCCAGGAGGCTAGGAGGGAGTATGGCTAATAATCTGGTGATATCTGTGCTATTGGTAAGGCCAGGATACACCTAGCTCTCTCAAACCTTTATGTCTTTATCAGTTGTCTTAGTTGGGGTTTCTATTGCTGTGAGCTATGACCATGCACCTCTTATAAAGGAAAAGATTTAACTGAGGAGCTGGATTACAGTTCAGGGGTTTAATCCATTGTCATCATGACAGGAAGCATGCAGGCAGACAGGGTGCTGGAGAAGTAGCTGACGGTTCTACATCTGGATCTGAAGGCAGCAGGAAGAAAGTGTGACATTGGGCCTGGCTTGAGCATCTTAAACCTCAAGCCCACCCCCAGTGACACACCTACTCCAACATGGACATACCATCAAATAGTCTCACTCCCTATGAGCCTATGGGGGCCACTTTCATTCAAACTACCAGTCATCCTCCCTAGACCTTATCTCGAGCATTGTTTCTCAATCTATAGAATTCAGTTTTATAGATGTTACATGTACTTTACAAAGAGTTTCAATGTAATCATGTCTTTAGCTTTGTTAAAGACACAGGATCTAAGTTAATTATCACCAGGAAAGTTTTTTTTCCCAAATTGTGCTCTCCTTACTTTTGCCTAAAATAAATTGGTTAGTGTCACACTCTTTATGTTTGAACCAACACCAGCTACTGAGTCATGTCGAACCAGACTCCCTTCGTACCGTACATGGATCAACACTTTACTGGCCATGGTGTTTGCAGAGATCTCCACAGACATCTGCATCTCACCTTATATCCTTATCACGATCAATATTTAGCAATATTGGGACAATCAAAATACGCTGGACCATATTAACTTAACAGACCGCTATTTTCCATCAGTCCCCAATTAAAAAATACCACCAGATAAGAGACTTACCCACTTCGCTGCAACTCACTGTCTTAGCCTGTGTTCTATCACTGTGAAGAGACACCATGACCCAGGCAACTCTTAGAAAAGGCAGCATTTAATTGAGCACTTGCTTACAGTTAGTCAGTTATCACCATGGTGGGAAGCAGACAAACACAGCCCTGGTGCAGTAGCTACGAGCTTTACATTTTGATTCACAGGCAGCCAGAGAGAGTGTGTGGGCCTAGTGTGGACATTTGAAACCTCAAAGCCCACCCCTAATGACACACTTCCTCCAACAAGGCCACACTTACTCCAAAAAGGCCATACCTCTTATTCTTTCTAATCTTTCTCAAGTTGTTTACAAACTGGGGACTAAGCATTCAAATACACGACTCCATGGAGGCCATTCTCTTTCAAACCCCCACATCCATTTACACACTTGCTTTTCTTACTTACATTTCTGAAAAGTGCCTTGATTTACTACTTTCTTTTCTGCTGCAATTGTAAACACTTCATGAACTGGTTACCATGTTAGAGCATGGTATTTAGAGTAACCTAATCCATGTCCCAGACCAGCTCCAGAACAAACTGCTTCTTACTCCTTTGAGGTGAGAGCTCTGTTTTTGCATTGACATAATATGCCTATGTGACATGTGTTTCTAATTTCCTTAATTTTATAGTGGGGACACTGGTAGGAAAAAGTCATTGAGTCAACTGCCGCTTTGGTAGACACCCAGGACAAGGCACAGCCTAAAAGCCACTGTCCCACACAAGTCAGAGCTGAGCAGTGGTGTAGCCCAGGGTCCAGCCTCATCCCCACACTATCCAGGAGCCCCTTTTTGTAATCCATTACTGACTTATCCTTCAAGTTGTGTCTTTATCTACACCGCACTTCACCCAGAGCTACATGGTTGCTAAAACACAGGAAGTTTGCTGTTACTTAACCCTCCTTCAACATTCTACCTCACAATTACACAATTACAGTCGCGAAACAGCCACTCTCAGGGAGAGAAGCCTGGCCCCAGAGCAACGGCCCTCTCGCTTTCTCATTCGCAAACTCTCTTAAACTGCAGGATCTTTCCACCCTGGGGCAGAAATACGTGCTCCTCCCTGGGACTCACGATGTATCAGCAACGATTCGCTGAATAACTCAGTGGTGGCTCAAAGGGCACTGCCCTAAAGCATATATAGTTTATATTATAAAAATATGATAATAATGCAAAGGACCAAGTTGAGAACAATGTTGATTTGCCTTTCTATTGCTTCCTGCCCACGGTAATCATCTGTTCCGCATTTTACTTCCCCATTCATTTACCAGTAACACAAGAATACATTTAACTAAAATGTTGAGCAGCCTTGCCAGACAGTATAATCATACATGGCCACATATAAACACCTGGTAAAAGCCAGACTACCAAGTTTCATTTCCTTATGAAATTTCGACAACTCATTAATCAAAACGTTATGTGACCCAAAACATCCTTAATGCCCCAAAGCAGCTCTATCGTTAAAATTCAAACTGATGTACTGATTTTTACCTTATAACATGTTCTTACTAATGTAGATTTGGCTGAAATAGAGACTATAAATAAAAAAACAAGCCAAACCGTCACTTTAAAAAAAATGGATAAGAAGTCAGGAGTGGTGATAGATACCATTAATTCCAGCACTTGGGACACAGAGGAACTCTTTGAGTTCCTGGCCAGTCAAGGATACATAAGTGATGCCCTGTCTCAAAAAAAATATATTCCATATTTTATACAACGGAATCTTGTTCAGTGCTATAGAAAACGAAATTATGAAATTAGTAGAACTGGAAAATTTTACACTGAGAGAGGTAACCCAGGCCCAAAAGGCAAACTCTGTGTGTTCTTTCCTTTGTGCACAAATCTCTTTGTGTATTTAAATGAGAACACTTGTAAAAACCAGGAAACTAGAAAGAGACCAAGGAGGGAGTCAGATGCCCTAAGAAAGGACAGACAGTTGAATATGGTAATATAAGAGGGGACTTAGTATGAAAGTGTTTATCAGGAATGGGTGTATGAGGTAACAAGAGGAGCTAAATTAACCAAAACAAGGGGTAAATGAAAAATCACCATAGAAAACTATGACTTTGTAAGCCAAGCTCTTCTAGGGGACCCAAGCTCCATTCCCAACATGCATGTCAAGCAGCTCACAACTTCCTGTAACTCCAACTCCAAGGGATTCAATAACCTCTTCAGGCCTCTGTGGATCCAACACATATATGGCATACATTCACACAAACATGCGCACATATACATAAGTAAAAAGAATATAATATATCTAACCGTTTAAGATGGGAGAGAGATAGCCTATATGGGCTTAGAAGTCATGGGCTAATGAACAAAACAACTCCATGCCAGGTGTGAAATACCTCCTTTTGAGTTGTTGGTCATTGAAGCTCAGAAGCCACCAAGTAATGAACTTGTCATTCCTCTTGGTTATCCATCAGAATTTGATGTTAAGATGATGTTGTTGAAGATACCACACGACTTGGATGTAAGATGTAGAGGAGTCAAGATAGAAGTGAACTAGCGGCCTCCTCCCTGCTGACTAGATCATAAGGCTAGAGTGTGCTGTATAGGCCGCTGGATAAATGACAACAATTGTCCCAAGCTGTGACCCCTCGGAGTACAGTACCAACCCACTTGGCAAGATGTGCTCAATGTGGCGATAGTAGCACGACTATTATAGGAATAAGAAACCATCCTCTGATTGCATTTGTGGCCTGCTCCACAGAAGGGAACACAGGCCTGGTACTGTAAACCCACTCAAAAACTCAAAGCTGGGAATGTTATAAGAGGAGTAACTTGCTACTTGTTGTTTAGCTAATCTCACATGGCACTAAATGTCTTCTAAATGTTGATATATGTAGGCAAATGCCATTCTGAGCCTTAGAGAAGCTGCTCTGCAGTAAACAGGGCATTTAGTGAATGCAGACTCACCACTGATCAAGGCACTGAGAATAAGAGATGGTTGAGTGATGTGGGAGGTCCTTCTGTATATATGTTGCTTTTATTGGTTAATGAATAAAGCTGGTTTTGGACAAGGGCTTAACATAGTAAAACCAGGCAGGAAATCCAAACAGAGACATAGAGAGAGAGTAGGCAGAGTCAGGAGAAGCCATGTAGCTGCTGGAGGAGAAAGACACAAACAGCCAGTCGGAACCTTGCTGGTAAACCACAAGCCTTGTGGTAAAATATAAAATAGTAGAAATGGGTTAATTTAAGATTTAAGCTAGCTAAGAATACGCTGGAACCATTAGCCAAGCAGTTTTGTAATTAATATAGTTTTGGTGTGATTATTTCGGGCCTGGGCAGGCAGGAAACAAATGAGCAGGCTCCACCAATAGTTGAGTACTCAGTCCTAAACAGGACATTCAGGTTCCCCCCTCTAAGGCTCAGGCAGCATCACAGAAGAATATGAGAGCCAATAGATGGGGAGGGGCTGTGAAATGCTGTCATCTAGGAATGACGTAAATGCTGCAGTCATGATCCCGTGCAGTTGTGGCCACCTGCACTGGGCCTGCACAGGAGGGTGTGCAACAGTCAAACACGAATTGGGAAACAGGACATCAGGCCTTGCCCCTCCCTGGTGAACCACTGACTACTAACACATTACAAGGGATGGGGCAGTCATTGTATTCAGTTATGCAACCTCTGGTGAGCTCACTAGGCTCCAGTGGATTGTTAGAAACCTGGGGTCATACAGCTGACCCTGGTTAAGTACAGTGGGTCACAATACAAACATAAAGAAAAAGAGATGCTGCCGGGACTGGAAAGGAGGTGTGAAAGGGTGAGTGGTGAAAATGATCAGAATGTGTGCTATACATGGAGGAAACTGTCGAAGAACAGAGTTAATTAACAACAAAAGAGTTGGAAAGAGAAGACTGGGACATGTGACTGAGTTCCTACAATGTAGAAAAGTCTGAGGGTGATATTAGTACCAACCTGACACCACTCCACCATGCTGACTGCAAGTGCACAACCATTGCCGGCTCCTCAGTGGGTTCCATGCATGTCCCAACCTTTGCTCCAGATTACTGTGGACCTGCAGGGCACAGAGGGGCCTCTCAGATTTCACCGTCACCATAAATTTAGCTAATGCCCATACAGCAGGGACCCTTTGGGGGCACTGGATATGGGACACCATAAGCTGAGAAAAGGGAAAGAGACATCGAATATTGTTTGCCCTGATCTAGAATTAAACCTCTCATGGAAACCAACCATTTCCAACTGCTACAGAAAGGACTACATGAGTGCTAGCAAGAGGCAAGATAGTCTACATAAGCATATAGCCCTGGCAGCTGGCAGTCAGTATGTGCACTGTATTCTGCACCTAAGCTCAATGAAGTGCCAGGACAGAGGAGAAAAAGTTCAGGCATACTGTGGGTCCCAGTTTGAGACACCATAAGCCAGAACTATAAGGAAATATGAACGGGCGAGAAAGGGAGAAGTGTCCTCTACACTAATATAAAGTTCCTAAGGGCTCTGAGAAAGAAAAAAAAACACAAATTAGGAAGAGAGAGATAGTAAACCACCTCCCATTGGACTGTCTGGGTCTTCCAGGTGGGATCTGAACTGGGAGAGAACCTGTGGGAGTGTCTCAGGGACGTCTGCTGAAGCATTCTGATACTTACATCTGGGTGCAATGAAGTGGACCAGGGACTGATAGTTCGAAATAGAAAGAGATGGATGCAGAGGTGGCTCCATGGGTAGAGCTGCTGCTCTTTGACAGAACCTGCATCAGGTAGCCCACAACCACTTGGAACTTCAGCTCCAGATGACTCAACACCTCTCTGGCCTCTCTGGGCATGTACACTCACATGCACACACCCACACAAAACCATGGACACATATGTATAATTTAAAAACTAAAACAGACCTTTAAAAGGGAAAGAAAGTAGAGGGATGGAAAGATTTAAATAGAATTAGGGATGAGAGAGGTTGGAAGGATAATGAACCAAAACAAGACTGTATGGATAAGAGCCATACGGAAGTCTACTACTTGATAATCTAACTAAAATGTGTAATTTTCCTTAAAGAGTTTAAACAAGGGGCTAGAAAGATGTCTCAGCAGTTAAAAGCACTATTGCTCTTTTTGAGGACCCCAGGTCAGTTCCCAGCACCCACATGGCAGCTTACAACCATCTACAAGTATATTTCCAAGAGATCCAATGCCCTCTTTTGGTCTCTTTTGGGGCATTGTATGCACATAGTATACAGACATACATGCAGGCAAAACATCCATGTACATAATATAAAAATAAACCTTTTTAAGATTTATTTGTTTATTATGTATATAACATTCTGCATCCATGTATGCCCACATGCCAGAGGAGGGTGCCAGATCTCATTACAGATGGTTGTGAGCCACCACGTGGTTGCTGGGATTTGAACTCAGGACCTCTGTAAGAGTAGCCAGTGTTCTTAACCACTGAGCCATCTCTCCAGCTCCTAAAAGTAAATCTTTAAAGAGAGACAGAAAAGCAAAGTGGCACCCACCTTTAATCCCACCACTTAAGAGGCAGAGACAGGCCTGCCTGTCTGTGACTCTGAGACCAGCCTGGTCTAAATAGAGCATTCCGTAACAGCCAGGCTACATAAAGAGACCTATGACAGACAGACAGATGAAAGACAAACAGACAGACAGACACACACACACACACACACACACACACACACACACACAAAGAGAGAGAGTTTGAGCAGAGAAATTTTGAACACAGGTTCCCTGTATGGGCAGATAATTCTGCTCTCAGAAGCCACTGGGACATGTTCTATAACAAAGGTTGACCTAGAATTTGAGATCATCTTGCCTCTGTTTCCCCAGCTCCACAAGTATTGGCCATTTTTAGCTGTGAAGTTGTCTTTTCTCTAATTAAAATGAAAAAAACTCATTATATTAGAACTATATTATGTTAATTTCACACAGATCCATAACATTACCGGAAAAAGAAAAGGAAAATTTACCCTGGGTTTTTATTTTATGAGTTAGATTCCAGGGCTGGAGAGCTGGCTCCATAAGTAAAGTCTTATGAACACAAGCGTAAGCAGACTTTTCTGTCCCACCAGCCAGTTCCCAAATAACCACAGAGACTTAATGTTAATTATAAATGCTGGGCCTATAGCTTAGGCTTGTCTTTATCTAGCTCTTTAAATAACTAAACCAATTTTTATTAATCTATGTGTTGCCCCAAGGCTCATTTACGTCATGTATGTGCTACCCATCCTGATTGCTCTGCATTTCATGGCATCTCCTCGAGACTCCTCAGCCCTTTTTCTCCCGGGAATTCTCTCTGTCTGGAAAATCCTGCCTAGCCATTGGTCAATAGACGTTTTATTAACAACGAGAGCAACATTTCTTCACAATGTACAGAAGGAGTATTCCACAGTACACAAGTCTAATAGCTAACACTTACACTTTCAAATGCACATCAGAAGGCAGATGCAGAGGCAAGAATCCATAATTCCAGTCCTTCCACAGCAAGATGGGAGACAGAGCTAGGAGCCCCATCCAGAAGTTCAAGGGCCAGCTGGCAGAGCAGCAGGAAAAGAGACCCTTCCTGACTAAAAAGAAGGTGAGAACTGTCTCCACAAACAAAAAGTGCAAGGTAAACTTCTACTGAGAAATATGAAGCAGAAATCTTAGGTATTCATTTTCCATTAATATAGTAATGTTCAGTCCTGTTTTATAAGTACCAACTTTTCCTTCCAATTTCATGAATAAAAACCAAGGTGCCTTCTGATGTAAACTGATCTTTGTGACAAAGGTCACACACAGTTCACCCTAAAAAGCATCTAAATTTAGAGATTTACCACTGGGGCAAAACTTGCATGCACTAGTAATAGAACAAGACAGGCTTTCCAAAATATGCCAGGCATGTGCTTGTAACGCTGTCACAGCAGGGCCAGGCTCTGTGCCTGTGTGCTGGTGACCGGGAGGGCTCAGCCTTTTCTAGGCCAGTTACAGAGTCATCTAGAACTGGAAGCAAACAGGCACAGCTTTTAAAATGCTTTTAAAGGAAACATTCAGTAGCTCGAGGCGAAAGCCCAGGGGCAGAAGACTCGTCTAGCATGGGTGATGCCTACTTCAATGCCCAGCACTCAGCACTACTGACGACTAAATAAAATTATTACTTTAGTACTTCACACATGTACATAATAGATCTTTTAAGGTCGAATGGCTACTAGAAGAAACGTAAGTCTCTTCAACCATTGGCTCTTGGACTTGTGTTCTACAGCCCAGAGTCAACCAGGGCTTAAGCTGTGCTGCCACCTTTGTGTGAAGATATTCTAGGGGCAGAGGCACACTTCCACATACCTTCAGAGGACAGGCCTCGGGGTGGGTGCTCAGTGGGCTAGTGTTGTTTTCGTTTTTAAAATTACAGTGGTTTTAGTACACCAATGCTTATATATCAGTCATTTATTGTTTCATTGCAGTTTCCCAAAAACATTTTAAACTGTAGTTGTCAGAAGGGTTATTAAGGTCTGTAAAGCATATTTCCATGATGTTAGCCTATCAAATTACCTTTCCTCTAGCTATTTTGGGTCTTTCTCAACATTATTAAAAGTGTATAGTTTACAACAAATTTTATGTCCCCATCACAAAGATTAAACCCTCTTCTCTGGTAATGTCCTTTGTGCAAAAATGTAGAATATAGATTAACAAGTCCAAAGAGGATCTTCAGAAGCCTGGTGGGGCAATACATGTCTATAAATTCAGTACTTGGGAGACTGAGGCAGGAGGATTGCCATGAATTTTAAGGTCAGCTTGAGTTACATAACAAGAAACAATAAAATAAATGACTATTTTTTTAAAGCCAAGCAAGGTGGCTCATATCTGTAACCCCAGCACTTTAGGCAGGAGAACTGCCACAAGTTCAGTGCCAGCCTGGGCTTCATCATGAGTTCAAGGTCAGCCTGGGCTACAAAGGAAGACCCTTGTGTCAAAGCCAAAAACAAACAAACAAAATAGGATACAGGGAGGCAAGCTTCAGAAAATCTTTTTCTCTAACCTTCAGTTAGAAGAAACTAAGAAAATAAGAATATGGTGAGCATATTCTTATTTCTATGATTTCTTTTAGCTCTGATTTCTAAATTTGTTAAAAACTTTTTTCCAAGTCAATGTAAGGGATAGTATATATCTTTCTACTCTTCATTTATTTCCTTCTTAAGGACAAAGCATAAAAGAAAGGAAGAGAGCAGGAGGAGTTGGAAAGATGGATTAGTGCTTAAGATTGTGTAGTGCCCCTTCAGAGGACCAGAGTCGGCTCCAGCACTCGCATTTCCAGCTCCAGGGCACCCAAGACCTTCTTCCTGCACTCATGCGGTACACATGCATGTACTCAGGCGCATAAACATACACATATCTGGCTGCTTTTCCAGAGGAAGAAGGTTAGAGTCCCAGCACCCACACATGGTGGCTCACAACACTCATTAACTCCAGTTCTGGGTAATCTGATGCCCTCTTCTGGCCTCCGTGGGCAATGAATGCACGCACAGATACCGATAAAACACTAGAACACAGAAAATAAAACTTTTAAAAGCTGGTGGTGGCACATGCCTTTAATCCTAGCACTTGGGAGACAGAAACAGATGGATCTCTGGGAGTTTGAGGCCAGCCTGGTCTACAGAGTGAGTTCCAGAACAGTTAGAGCTGTTATACAGAGAAGCCCTGTCCTGAGAAAAACAAAAATAAATTTTAAAAAATCCTTAAAAAAACAAATTTAAATAGAGCTAGAGATATGACTTAGTGGCATAAGAGCACTTACTACTCTATCTGGAGTTCGGTTCCCAGCACCCACAACAGGCAGCTAGCTCACAACTGCAGCTCCACGAGGATCCAATGCCTCTGATCGCCACTAGCAACTGCACGCCGATGCATATACCCAGTACAGACACGCACATATAAAGAATAAAAAAATAAAAATAATTTTAAAAAATGAATCCTAGATAGTTTTCCTTCAAGTTAAGTGTCTTGTTTAAGTAAACTTGGAGGGGAGGGGTGAGAAAAGGGAAGGAGAAAAAAGGGGGAGAAAAGGAGAAGAGAGGAGGAGAGAGGGGAGAGAATATGAAAATGAATCCCCTGACAAGAGCCAACCAAAGGATTCTGAAAGCTGATAGTGACAACAGGCCAAGCCAGAGTGACAGTTTTATTGCAGGCCTGGTCATAAGCCCTAGAGGAGTCAGAGATGTTTCTCCTCCCACAGGAAGTACTCAATACATACATTTTTTTTTTTAAGGTTAATAGAAGATGAAACGACCTAAAAGCTATTAAATACCCTGGACGTCCACTCTCCTCATTATCTTCACCCTGTAGCAACACATCTCCTTCCCGGAGTCATGGCTGTATTAATGAAGTGCAGAAAGAAAGAAGTACATGACAACTTTGATATCAGAAACCAGAACTAACCAAAAGGTTTCAAGATAGAAACAAAACAATGTCTTGAAAGAAGTCCTATGTACCTTGGAAAATCAAGTTTTGTTACAGCTTTTGTTCGACTCATGAGTCTGATTAAAACAAAAAGGCAACGAAGGGTATGAGACAAGCGAGTTTAACAGATTTACAAAGAAAGTCAGCTTCCTCTGCGCTGATGGCAGTTCATTCCTCCTCTCAGGCCCTCAGATTTCCTTAAGTCTGTTAGAAAGAATTAAAACAAACAAGCCTTAGTCCAAGCTCTAAGGTCGACTAAATCCTGGTCTTGTGCTTTGGGATGTAGAGGGCTCTTTGTAGACAATCAACATACCATTCGGTCCTTGCTCAAGATGCATTCCTTTAACCTGATTCTACCTTAAAAAATGGTCCAAATTAGCAGCCGGGGATAGATTTCGCCCTCTAGCGGAACCCAAGTGGCCCGGGAACCCACCATGAGTAAGAACTACAACGCCCAGTGTGCTCCGGGAAGGGGCTGCCTCTTCCCCATTGGTCAAGGATGGGTGACGCTAAGTGTTTTGGCCGAACGGTCACATGTTTCCTTTGTTGTGAGCAGTGGCAAAGACTGGTGGCTCCGGGAGACGCCGGCGCAGCAGAGACCGCGGGGTCGACGCTCGTGCAGCTTCCAACCTGCGCCGAGAGGTACCGGGGTGACCGCTCCAGGCAGCCCACGGCCGCGGTGCTGACCACCGGCACCTGCGGGAGGGAGGCGAGGCCCCCGGCAGCGAGAAGCCCGGCACGGCCTCGGGTGTGGGGACCGGGCGGCCCGCGGCGGCGATGCACTTCGGGCGGAAGCGTCCGGAGTGCTGCGGCCTCAGATCTGGAGTTTCTGTGGGGTGAGGGCGACCGTGGGTGCTGTCGCCGAGCACAGATAGGATCGGGGTGCTGGGGCCATAGCCGCTCGCCGCGCTGTTGCGAAACCTGCTAGGCGTGGTCACCTGACCGTTACCCGCCCCCGCTGAGCCTTTGTTTACCCGGAGCGCGGCTGCGGGCCGTCCCGGGGGAGCCCCCGCCCGCTCGCCGGCTTCCTTCTGCGCCGGGCTAGGCTTCTTAATTTAGTTCTCAATGTTCCCGCCCCTAAGTCCCGGACACCCGAGGCGAAGACCGTTCGGGCGGCCCGGATTGGGCACTGCAGGCGGGACCCGGACGGCCAATGCCGAGTTTTTATTGGCGGGGGCTGGTGGCTGGGTGGCTCGCGCCGCCCTGTCCCGCCCTCGCTTGAAGGTGACCTGGAGGACGCGGGCGCCGCGGGAGGGGGGGGGGCGGCAGCAGTGGGGGGGCGGGCCCGGGGGGGGGGCCCGGCCGGCCTGGGCGAACACCGAGCGGATGGGCTTAGGACACAAAGTGACCGGACAGCGCAGAGATGTGCGCTGCTGCCAACTTGCTCTTGCCTGATCTGCGCAGGCTTAGGTAGTAAAGGATGAACCACAAGGCCACATTTGGGGAAGCTCCGTGTCAACTCCAGCGGATTTTAATGATTACTTTTGTTCTAAACGGCGCGTGCTAGTGTTGCAGCCAACACCCGGCGAGTCCACCAGCTGGTTGATTGATAAGGGTTTGTTTTTTCGTATTGTTTTTCTTTATTAGGATTTAAAGTCTACCCCTTGCCACTTAAGATTAAAAAGATGGCTTTTACCTTAAAAAAAAAATAGCGTGAAGTTATTCGCCTACAAATTAAAGATTGGTTTGTTTGGTTTTTTTGTTTTGTTTTGTTTTTGGTTTTTTTGTTTTTTTTTTGTTTTTTTTTTTTAGTGTGCTTTCTTAGTTTTCCCTGTTTGGGGCTTTTTTTTTTTCCAGCACATATGCTTTCGTGTATTAATTTTCCTGGTAGTTCAGAAGTTTCTGAGAAGTGAGTTGAAGGCATATGTTGAAAAACTAAATTAAGATCACTGAAAGGCCAGTCATTTTCAGCCAGAAGATATTAAAGCTGGTTTTCCCAAGCCTTTAAGCTTATGGGGCTCTTAGGTATTGTCATTTTTATAGCTGAAAGGAAAGGCGCTTCAGTGAAGCAGGTCTTTCTGGTTATACATACTTTTTTTTTCTCATTAAAAAAATCTTTTAATTTTACATACCAACCCCAGTTCACCCTCCTTCCCCTTCTCCCACTCCCCAGCTCCCCTTTTCCCATCCCCCATCCATCCTCTGAGCAGGTAAGGCTTTCCTTGGCGAGTCAACAAGGTCTGGCATACTAACTTGAGGCTCCCCCCATATCAAGGCTGAGCAAGGTAACTCACCATAGGGAATGGGCTTCAAAAGGCCAGTTCATGCACCTGGGATAGGTCCTGGTGCCACTCCCAGCCTCTCCCCCACCCCCCAAACAGATCAAGCCACATAACTGTCACCCACATTCAGAGGGTCTAATTCAGTCAGGTACATATTCTCTCTCTCTCTCTCTCTCTCATTTTTTAAATGATTGATTTATTTATTATGTATTCAATGTTCTGCCTGCATGTATGCCTGCAGGCCAAAAGAGGCCACCAGAACTCATTATAGATGGTTGTGAGCCACCATGTAGGAATTGAACTCGGGACTTCTGGAAGAGCTGTCAGTGCTCTTAAACCTCTTGATAGCCCCAAACTTGACAATTTCTTCGTTTTTATTTTATTTTATTTTGTTCGTTTTTTTCGAGACAGGATTTCTGTGTAACTTTGGAGCCTGCCCTGGAACTTGCTCTGCAGACCAGGCTGACCTCAAACTCAGAGAGCTCCACCTGTCTCTGCCTCCTGAGTGCTGATAGTAAAGGCATGCGCCACCACCGCCAGGCTGGTTATACATTAGTAGATAGTTTAAAGATGTATTTATTTTCTGTATGGGTGTTTTACCTTCTTGTATCCACCACCTTCGTTCAGTGCCAAAGAAGGCCAGAAGAGGGTGTCAGATCTAGCAGTGGAGTTACAGAGGTGGCTCAGGCTGTCACCTTGTAGGTGCAGAGAACCAAGAACCAAACCTGGGTTATCTGCAAGAGTGGCAAGTGCTCTTAACTGCTGAACCTTGGCCCAAGCCCCGCTTAATATTAAAAGCTCAAGTAGTGGTGACTATATCAGAATAAGCAGCTGTCTGGCCAGAACACATAATCGCTAGTGTACTAAGGATATTTAATAGACCTTAGTACATAAAAATGCTATCCACTATACCTTAATAAAAACTACCATTTGGTAAGTTATGTTTCTTCAAACAAAGCCTGTGACTTAGTCTCTAAACAGGAAGCAGAAAATAATATTCTAAGAGTTATCAGTTCTGTCTTACTGGCTTTGGTCCAAGTTGCTAAAACCTTAATGTTTTTTCAGTGTGCTTTTTAACTTCCTTGTTTTCCTACCATTTCATTAAGATTCAAAGGTCAACCCTTTCGAAAATAAATACTTAGTAAATATATTACAGCATTTATTCTTGTATGTACTTCTACTCTTATCTTGAAATCTTGAAATACATAGGTATGGACTCTGTAATGAAAATGTCAATAAAAGTCCTCACAAGCATTCATACAGAAAACATGATTTCATCTCTGCTGTGACTGCAGCAATGACACTAGACAGTGGCTGTTTTACTATCTCTCTGTTCTTCATGCTGTAAAACCCCTGAAAACTCAACAAAGAAGTCCCCTGCAGGTAGTTCCAGTTATTTGGGAGGCTGAGGCAAGAAGATTGCTCATTAGACCTAGGAGTTCAAGACCAGCTTGGACAACATAGACGTTGGGGGTCTCGGGGTAATAACAGAATAGCTTATTAACTCCATGAGTTGTAATTTCTCCAGCACACCCTTCCCCACTCCCCTTTAAGACTGAGATTAAACTCAGGACCTTCTAACATGCTAGCCTCTGAGTCCTCACTAGTTGACTGATCATGTTAGATGATCTAAAACATTCTAAGAGTTACGTGCCTGTAACCCCTGCAGGAGAGTCTAGAGTTTATGACAAACCTGGAATACACAAGGAGACCCTGTCTCAAAACAAAGCAATTGGGTTTTGTTGGAGTTTCTAAAATTATTTCTGAGTAATTTGTACTTTACTAAGTTAAATAAAAGCCAAGTACTTCTGAGTGTTCTTGTATATTAAAAGGTCATTTAAGATCCTAGGTAATACCATAGCTGGTTTAGTTGTAATACGCCAAAACTGATTTTTGGTAGCAAGAAAAATAACTGTCAAAATTCTGTTTCTCCGTCTCACTCGCAACAGGATCTTGTTTTGTAACTATGTAATTCATAGTAGCCTCTGATTCACAGTGGTCCTCCTACCTCAGCTTCCTGAGTGCTGGGATTACAAATCTTAACCCTCTGGCTTTGCGAGGCCTTTGACTTTTCATACAAATGCAGTAAGTACTGGAAGCGTGATTGACAAAATGGCATCGTTTCTTTGTCAGGCCTTGTGAGGAGCACAAGTTAGGCAAAGCTTTTAGACAGTGACAACACCTGAAATTTATGTATGTTTGTAAAATGTATATTTTTACATAAGTTTTATACACGTTTGTGAAATTGATATAGGTATGTAAAAGCCTGCTTGGTTTAGCATAGTACTTTGTAAAGAATTTAGTCTGTTGGAAGCATTTGCTCACATCCTTTTGCATTACCACTAGATCTTTAAAGATAACTCTCTTCCCTTTCTTGTTCCTGCTTTATCCATGGTTTAGTTTGAGAAAATGTAATGTGGAACTTGATGGTGTGGGTGGTTGGCAAGTTGTAGGGACTGTACTATAGAATACCATAGGTTTCTTGTTCTCTGGTCTTTGGAAGGCCTTAGTTGGACCATACTGTCTGTCTGTAACCTCTTTGTAGAGGACTCTTTTAAGGGACAACAAAGCTTGTTGTGTTGCCGCCCTGTAAATCACACCTTGTACAGCTCCTCCAGACTCCGTACCTTGCCCTTTACCAGTTAGGATTGCCAAACTGAGCATTGTGGCGCCTTTAATCCCAAAGAGGTAGGCAGATCTTTGTAAATTTTAGGCCAACCTGGTCTACCTAGTGAGTTCCAGGCCAGCCAGGGCTACATACATCCCCTGTCTCACACAACAACAAAAATACCAATTTTAAAAAAAGAAAAAAGCTTAAGTAGTACCTAAAAGTTCTGCAGAAAATGCTGGAATGGGTTGTTTCCTACTTCAGATGGCATAATTCTACACCAGATGAATCATGAGAAACTCTGTTCCAACTTGTGCTTGAGTTCTAGAGAAATGTTGAGAATGTGGATCCCTGTTAGTGTTGCAGTCCTTATTTGATTCTAGTGTTAACTAATCGTACAGTATCTAAAGTTGAATTTGAATCTAGGGTGTGCTGCCCTGGGGTCAGACACAAATAGGCCTCTTTCATTGACTTTGGTCCTTACTCACTTCTGGAAAAGAATACTGACTTAGGTAGTAACCTTCTGCTAGCTTGACCAAGATACAGTGTTCTTTTATCAAGTGTACATTTATGAAAGTATGTATATAATTAAAGTAGGTAAACACACAAGATAGTATTCTTGTCCTAATCATGTTAGTCTGGGTATAAAGATGTGATATTTGTTTCTTTATTTAATACTTACTTATTTCGGCTTTTCGAGACAAGGTTTCTCTGTAACAGTCCTAGCCGTCTTGGAACTAGCTCTTGTAGACCAGACTGGTCTTGAACTCACCGAGATCCACCTGCCTCTGCCTCCCAAGTGCTGAGATTAAAGGCATGCGCCACCATCACCAGCTGACTGTATTTTTAAGTTGGTTATTTATATTTGATTTTGATATCAAATCTGCCTAAACTTTATAATTTACAAGTTCTTGTTATGAATAACTAGATCAGAAACCAGAACCAACCACTGGTATTTAAATACACAGTTGCTCTTCTGTGCATAGCTCTAAGTCCTAGTAGTTTCTCCTAAGCATCTCCCCCCCCC